AAGAACAGTGTGACCTTGAACAAGTTGCTTAAACTCTTTATTCCACAGTTTTCTCATTTACAAACTAGGGTGAATAACAGTAGCTACTTCATAGGGCTTTTTTTAAAGATTTTATTTCTTTATTTTTAGAGAGAGGGGAAGGGAGGATGGAAGAGAGGGAGAGAAGCAACATTGTGCAGTTGCCTCTCTGCAGTTGCACCCCCTTCTGGGGACCTGGCCCACAACCCAGGCATGTGCCCTAACTGAGAATTGAACCAGTGACCTCTTGGTTCTCAGGCCAGTACTCAATCCACTGAGCCACACCAGCCAGGGCACCTCATAGGGTTTTTATGAGGATTAAATGCAACTTGTGTGTAAAGCATCTAGAACAGTGCTTGGACATATGAGTAAGTAAATGTTATCTGTTGATATTAGTAGTAATAGCAGCTTTTTACATATGTCTTTTTAAAGAAGAAATGCTGCTAGTTGGTTTCATTTTTAAATAGTTTCTGAGCCTCAAGGAAAAGATATGCGAAATAAAAGCCACAGTCTCTTAACATACTCTAATATCTGTGTATAGATCATAATAATAGCAACATTTTATTGCTCACTTACTTTTCAAATACTTTCCATTCTAGATAGTTTCCACGTATTCTCTTATTTAATCCTCATTTATCTAGATGAAGAAAGTAAGGCATAATGTCTTGTCCAAGTTGTTTCCCAAGGTCATAATTCTCAGTTAAGAGATAGAACAGAGAGTCAAATCGAAGCTTCCTGGCTCCAAAGCTCGCACGCTCTACACTGAGGCGCTACATTGCCTCAGTTGAAAAGAGAAACAGAGATAACCAACGATTCAAAAGCTGGTTCTTTGAAAAAACTGAATATAGAGAATCCTTTGGTAAATACAATGAAGGAAAAAGAAGAGGAAAGGCACAAGAAACTATGTTCAGGTTGGGAAAGGGGAACATAAGTACAGATGGAATTAGGAATTCAAACATTTAGATAAAAATAGGTACATTCTGTCAAAATATAACAAATTTGACTCAGAAATTAAAAATCTGATTTGTTCCCATAATATACCAAACCTAGATGGTTTTACAGTCAAGTTCTATTAAAATTCCAAATAGTACATCACTCCAATCTTATACAAACTGTTTTGGAAATTAAAAAATAAGAAGAAAGAAAGAAAGAAAAAAGAAAGAAAGAAAGAAAGAAAGAAAGAAAGAAAGAAAGAAAGAAAGAAAGAAAGACTTTCCAAGCAGAAAACTAGGCAAGGATAATGTAAGAAAAGAAAATTGCAGGCTAATCCACTCATAAAAATTATTAAAACAATCTTAAATTCTCTAGTCATATGTAGAAAGAGAATGAAGTGCTAAGTAAGATTTACCCTAGGAATGCAAAGCGATTTAGCAATAGAAATATATAAATATAATTAATAACATTAACAGATTAAGAGGTAAAAGACATGTTGTCTTATTGATTAAAAATACAGTAACATTCATTCACTATTTAAAAGAAAAAAAAAAAACCTTAGTAAATTAGGAATAGAAAATAACTCCCTTAACTTGGCAAAGTGTGTTTACCAAAAATCTACAATAAATTCAGTTCTTAATTGTGAATTATAAAAAAAATATTGCCTTAAAAAAATCAGGAATAAGACCTGGCTGGTGTGGCTCAGTGGTTGAATGCCTGCCTGTGAATCAGAGCGTCGCTGGTTCAATTCCCAGTCAGGGCACAGGTCCCCAGTAGGGGGCACACAAGAGGCAACCACACATTGATGTTTCTTTCCCTCTCTCCCCTCCCCTCTCTAAAAAATAAAAAAATAAAACATCTTTAAAAAAAAACAGAAATAAACCGATGCCTCATCACCATTTTCATTCAACATGGTTGTTCTAGTCTAGTAAGATTTTTTAAAAAGTAAAGATATAAAAATTGTAAAGAAAGGAACAAAACTAACATTATTTGAAACTTATTTGATTGACTACATTAATCACTAAAAGATCCTATGGAAAAATTATTACAATTAGTAAGAATTTAACAAGGTAGCTCGATATAAGATCAATATTTTAAAATTAATAGCATTTCTATAATTAGAAACAAACTGAGAAAATTTAATTTAAAGAAATACCTTTTACAATAATAAAAAAGTAAAAAATTAGAAATAAATCTTAACAAAAGATGTATAGAATATTTATTGGGAAATTGATGCACCTTAAGGAAGACATAATTATAAGTGAAGCAGTTTAATGGATATAAATAATATATGTATGGCTAAGATATATATTACGGCTAAAGGTTTGCCTTACCAGATATTAAGGTGATTAATTGTAAGGCTATTCTAACTAAGATGCTGTCATACTGGAAGAAGAATAGACAAACTGTCCAGTCTAGAACAGATGAGCAAGCCCGGAAACAGATAGCACGTTATAAAAACTTGTATTGGCTAAGCTGGCATGGCAGAGCAGTGGGAAAAGGACGGATCTTGTCATTAAATCATATTGGAATTGTCAGTGTCCCATATGGGAAAAACGAAATTTGATCCTACCGCACACTATTCATAATAATATGTTTTAGATAGGTTAGAGGCTTATATGTGAAAGGGAAACCTTTAGAACTTTTATAAGAAAATAAAAAATAAAAATTTTATCACCAGAGGTAGGAAGGAGGATGAAGGATTTTCTAAATGAGACACAAAGTTTGCCACAAAATAAAAGATTGATAAGTATGACTACTTTAAAATTAAGAATTTCTGTTCCTCAAAAGATATGAAGAAAGTGAAACAGCAAATCGTAACAATATTCCCAACTCATGTGATCAGTAAAGAACTGGTGGTATACAGAATAAAGAATGCCTGAAATTCAATTTTTTTTTTAAAAAGACTCTCTAATTTTGAGATGAGCTAAATATCTGAACAGGCATTTTCACAGAAGAGGAACTCTAAGTGGCAAATAAACATAAGAAAAATTCTCACCCTCATTAATAATCAGGGATATACAAATTAAAACAATGATATAGCATTTTATGCCACCTGGATTGCAAAAAAAATAATGTCTCACAATAGTATTGACAACAGAAAAGCAACAAAAATTCTTTTACACTGACCAGAAGAATGTAAATTGGTATACAACTTGTCATTTTGTTGTAATAACATGCACAGTACTCTTGTCCTAGTAATTGCATTCTTAAAGGACTGTCACCAGAAAGACTTTTACAATATGCACCTGGAGACAAGAATGTGAATATCTTGTCTCCAGGTGTGTATTGTAAATCTTGAATATTGACATTATTCAAAAAGCCAAAATTAGAAACAACTCGAATGTCCATTTAATGAGGCATGAATAAATATTACAGAGTATATTCACAACATGAATTATACAGTTATGAAAATGAATGAACCACAACTACACACAATAGTGTGAATGAAACTTAACAATGAGGAAAATATAACCAAAGATATATATTAACAACATAGCATCTCTTCATAAAGCTCAAGCAAAACTAAAATAATGAAGTATTTGTTTAAAATAATAAAACAACTTTTGAAAGAAAAGGAATGATAAAAAAAATTGTGTGTGGCAAGGTTTCCCTTGGAGAAGATCAGGGAAAAGCATAAAGATATCTTGGTAGTATCGATGACGCTCTGCATCTTAAGTTGAATAAAGGAATCATGAGTGTTCACATGCTGCTGTGCTGCATAGCTTACATATATGTTACATGCACTCATTTGCATATAATAAGATTTTATAATAGCCTTCTAAAGACTGGCTAGGTAATAAATATGCCAAAACTACAAAGGCCACTGTGATCAATGCACTTTAGCATCCAGAGGGCATCTGTCCAGGTTGACAGCAGTCTGCACTCGTTGGGTATGGAAGTCTTTTCAACCAGTTACAAATCAACCTAATGATGCCGTCAACCAGCCTACGTCTCTCAGCCTTGTACACAAGGATATCAGGTTCCTTTCTAAGTGCTCACAGACCATCTGTTTAATATTTTCTCCTAAACTTTGCCATGGGTCGATGTCAAGCTCTTCTGGAAAGGTATTTTATCCATACGTGTTCTTAGGAAACACCAAATGTTACCAACCCAAACATAGAAGACAGAGATTTGTTGCTTCCTAAAGGATTCCGGGGGGAAAGGGAGGTAGCCCTCTTCAATGCTTCATGCTTCAGTGTAATCGACAGATTCCACATTTTTACCCCTTTTAGTGTCTTAGAAAATAGACTGGAAAATACAGCTGTATCTTGAGTTTGTCTTTGATAACTGTATTAAAGTCATTTCCCTGTGGCATTAGAACTAAATTACAACCACTGGTGTATTTATTACCTAAAGATTTTTAACACAGAGAGACATTTATTTCATTAAGAGAAGACTGGTCTCAGAAAAAAGCAACTCTTCCCTTTTTAAAATTGAATTAAAGAATTCTTTAGAGCTCAATGGAAAATATAAAATTATCTGAAAATTGGAATTTTAAAAAATTTCCCTCACCAACTTTATCAAAAAATAATTTACATACTGTACATTGCATTCATGCAAAGTGTACAATTCAATGAGTTTTGACAGTTGACTATGCCCATAAATCATCACCACAACCAAGATATTTCCATCACCCCTAAAAGATTCCTTTTGCCTTTCACACTCACTTCATCCCTCCCTCAGTCCCTGCTGTATACCACTGATCTGCTTTTTGTCTGTAGATTAGTTTGCATTTTATGTAACAACTCATTTAATTATACAGTCTATTCTTTTGTGTCTGATTTTTTCCATTCAGTTTTTGAGATCCATCCATGTTGTTTATATCAGTAGTTAGTGTCTTTTTACTGCTGAGTAGCATTATATTGTATGAATTTGCCACATCTTGTTTAACCATTCACCTGTTAATGAACATTTCAGATGTTTGTTTCCAATTTTTGCCTTTTGTGACTAAAGCTGCTAGAAATACTTACACACAAATCTTTGGAGACATATGTTTTTATTTCTTTTAGGTCTTACTGTGTTTATGGTTCATCTTTTCCCATTCATTTATTTTTAACCCATTTGATCTTTATACTCAAAGTTTATCTCTCATAGACAGCATATAATTGAGTCTGCTTTTTATCTATTCTGTTAATCTCTTCTCTTTTTTTGGAGTGTATAGTCCATTCACATTTATCATAACTATTGATATGGTTGAATTTAGGTCTACCATTTTATTTTTTGTTTATCTTCTCTGGTTTTTGTTCATATTTTCCCTGCTTTCTTTCAGGTGATGAAATATTTTTGGAATTCTATTTTAATTTACCTGTTGTCATTTAGCTATATTTCCTGGCATTACTTTTTAATGGCTTCTCTAGGGATTATGTTATATATTCTTAACTTTTCAGTCTACTTAGAGTCAAATAGTTCTACTTTGCATAAAATGTTGAATTTTACTCAGGATTACAATACTTCACATAAGTAGGGATTAAAATACAGTTTTTAACTTTTTTCAGCCTACTTAGAATTAATATAGTACCATTTCATGTCACATATAAAAACATCACCACTATCTAGGCCCACTTATCCCTACATACATATACACACACGCCCTCATTCTGCTTTATTTTTCTTCATGGTATCTATCATTATCTGCAATTATCTTCTGTTTTGTTTGTTTGTTTGTTTATTGTCTGTTCTCTCACTGGAATGTAAGCCATGAAAGCAAAGAATTTGCCACTTTCATTGTTGACACCAATCAATGCTCGGCTCATAGAAGGCACTACACAAATAATTATTTGAATGATTAAGTGCAAGAATCAGTGAATGAGTGAAAACAGTATTCTCTTTGAGTTCTAGGAAATTCATTTTCTCTATTTTATACCGTTCTGGTGATGTCTTAACCCCTCTTGTAGACTAAGGCCCTGGAAGATGGTCACCGCTCGGGAGCCCTGTACTTACTTCTCGGCAGAGTCCACACTGCCATAACCACCACTGTCCCTGCCTCCTCCTTGTTCCCAGAGTCCGAGAATCACCTCCACGAATGAGGCAAAGGAAAGGCGAGCTGGTCTGCCCCCAGTGTTGTGAACTGTTGGAAACGATCCTCATGCCACTGTTGATTTAAGGACTGTGGTTAAGTGGCTCTGCAGAGCTGTTCCTGAGCAAGCTCTGTCTGCTACGATCACCTAACCTGGTTGATAACATCTGAGAGCTACTCCTATATTCCGAGAGTAGACAACACTGACTATGAACTGACCCAGGGAGGCTAAGATACCATCATTTCACAGTTTCTGAGGTTACAGAGCTATTTTGAGAATCCAATAAAAGCTAAGAACTTATCCCCTTCCACCATCCCAACAAAATATATCTATACACATACAGATGAAATTGTATACCATTTCAGGTGGTTCTAAGAACCCCTGAAGCCCATCCACGATGCCCAAGAATAGGCTATATGAGGATCGTTTGGAAAAAAAAAAAAACAGGGCTAGCCAATATAACAGGCCAGGGCCTCTGTCGGACTGTAGAGGGTGTGCAGGACTGGCCAGGAGCCCCATTTTCCTAGACCTCTTCCTCAGATATTCTATGTCAAGAGAAAAATACAGCCATTATATGTGCATAGGCGTGTGTTAAAACATTAAATTCTCCCATTAAAAATTTACACATTTCCATTTTGTAACCCTGATTTTAGGCTGACTTCTGAGAAGGACCGCTTTAGGCATTACCTCATTTTCAATGATCAGGCTCTTAGTTTTTCTCATTAGTGTAGCCCTTTCAGAAAAGCTCAAAAAGAGCTCTTGCTCTGCAAAATAAGTCAGAGAGAAAAAGTAAAGAACCATGATTTCACTCATATGTGATATATAAAACTGAAAGCAACAAATGAACAAATAATGCCAACAAACAAAAACTCGTAGACACAGACAACAGTGTGGTGGTTACCAAAGGGAGGAGGAGGGAAGGTAGAAAAGGGTGAAGGGAGTCGAATACATGATGACAGAAGGAGATTCGGCTTCGGGTGGTGAGCACACAATGAAGCACACAAATGATGTATTATAGAATTGTACACTTGAAAGCTATATAATTTTATTAACCAATGTCACCTCAATAAATTTAATTTTAAAAGATTTTTATGAAAAGGAACCTATAGTCCTGACTGGTGCGGCTCAGTTGGTTGGGCGCCATCCCCCAACCAAGATGTCGTTGGGTTTGATTCCCCGTCAGGACACCTGCCTGGGTTGTGGGCCTGGTCCCTGGTTAGGATGTGCGAGAGGCAACCAATCGATGTTTCTCTCCCTTTCTCCTTCCTTTCCCCTCTCTCTAAAAATAAGTAATTTTTTTAAAAGAAGCTATAGTAAACCAAGAACAAGAAATCTTGTTTCCTGATGGAAATTTAAAATAATGATTTTTTTAAGTTTAAATGTTTAAAGATAAGGTTGTGGAAATCTCCCAGAAAGTATAAAATTGGAGGCAAGGGCCGGCAGGAGGAAGGGTGGCGAGGGTTGGGGAGTGGTGGGCGGAGGAGTGGTGCGGAGCGGGGAGGGGGGGTAGAGGTGGGGGAGCTTAGTGAGGAATCTAACTGCTTGTGACCACAAGGGGGCAGGGTAAGTCCAAAAACTGAATGTGAGTGCTGACTGCTGTGTAGGCTGCAGTGAACCAGGCCTTCCTGGTTGTCTTAACCACACACTGCCAGCTAGCTGCACCCTCACTCTGGTAACCTTTTTATTTCATACCCTCAGTGGGACCTAGCTCATTCAATGTCCCATGTGCTCGCCAGTCAACATGGGAGCTGCTCTTCAACATCTGAGAAGTGAGAAGTCTCCTCCCCGTTTCCCAGGTTTAGCACATTTGGGTGTATTGTACTTGTGAGGAACACCATGCCAAGTGTTGGTGGTCTTATGTATGTTAGTGCTGGGGAGGAAGTAATCACCAAAGGAGGTGACGGGGTGGGGGGGGTGTTAAAAAGGAAAGTACATTCTTGTCCTGTAAAAGCAAATAATCTTGTTGATCAGAGTATAGAATAAAATACCATTTGTTGAAACTACTTCATGTGATCCATGGATAATCATCTCACTTCTTATGCCTCACTATAACTGAATTAGGTTGCACTATCCCTGCTTTGCCCAAAGTAACACAGCTGACATTTCCAAGTCACGATTCAAACCCCAGCCTTTCCACTACATCCGGCCATGTTTCAAAAACTCATAGAAAGAGAATAAAACCCTTCAGGGGGAACCAAATAACAAGTATAATTGTTCTGACCAAATGAAGCCCACAGATACCCAGGGGGTGCTGATTAAAACTGAAAAAGGGAGGATATAATTAAGCATAGCTTTCTGGACAAAGTCAGCTCTGAGTTGAATTCTGGGGGAGGTGCGGCCTAGAGATTGATAGAGTAATAAAAGCACTAAGGAAGGAAGGAAGTCATGTGGTAAGGAGACTAACTTAGTTGAAACAGAAGAGTTACAGGAAAAAGTAATGAGAGCCATGGAGGAGGGAGCAATTGTTTAATTTATTGTTTAACTCCACAGGCCTTTGCTGAGCTCCAGCACCATGCGCACTACCTGTGGGGGATGGGAGCAGTCCGATGAGCCATCACAGAAAAAGGGAAGGGTGGCTTATTGGAGAAATAACCAGTACGACCGGTTGTATAGGATGAGTGAGGGGAGAAAAGATGACAGCAGGAAGACAGCACATGCTCTTACGCTAAGGTGGTATCTGATGAAACCATGTTTTAGAACATTTGATCATAGTAGTACATAAGTACTGGAGAAGGAATGGAGTCTGAACGGAAAGCTAAGAGGTTACCGCTCTGATCCAGGCACAAGGAAAGGAGTGCCCGAACCACTGACAGAGAACATGAAAAAGACGTTTTCCCTTTCACCTGTTCCGCTTTACACGTTAGTTGTTAGCTTGGACAAAGCGACTGTCCCTGGGAAGCTGCTGAGTCCCTTCTGAGCCTGCAAAACTGCAGACTCGAACCTGAAGCACTGAGTCGTGGTGGGAATTACATGAGAGCTTTTTCAGAGAAAGAAGGTCTGGTCTGTGGCTCTCCCAGGAACCTGTAGGTTGAGAACTTGGAAAGAACTTCAGGAACGTTGATGGGGTGGGTATCTGCAGAGAAGACTGGTACTGTCCCTTGTGGACGTACCACGTGTCATTCAGGCTTGATTCTTTGCAGGACCAGAAGGTTATTTTGTCAGCACCCTCTCTGCCATAGGCTCACCTTATCAAACTCAAGTCCAAAGTACTTTAGAGGGAGAATCATTTCCACCATCATCACCCAGACCTGACAAGCACATCCTGCCTTTGGGGAGCATCCTGGGGCCAGCACGCCCCCTCTGCTGGGAGATAGCTTAGTGTTGTCTCCTGTGGGAATCGTTTCTACTCCTCTATCCTTTCCCTGGGGAGAAAAAATGAAACACTTATTTCTCTTCTCTAAAACTCTGTCATTTGAATTCTGAACAATATTATACTTGCTGCTCAGTTCCATTTGCGTAGCTCTGTATCTGCCTCTGCAGGCTTTAATAATTATTTTCCCTCCCTGAAGAGAATCTGTTCAGTCATTTCCATATGTCATTCAAGGTGAGGTCCAGGCTCATTTCTTGTTCTGCCTATGACAAAATAAGATTCACATTATTTCAAAGAACCTTTCTCTTTACTTATGAGGGACATTTCTTTGACAATGACTTCATATTTATCACTGTAGTTCCCTAAAACGTAATGGGGCAGGTGAGAGTTTAAGGAAGCATGGTCAATAATAATGTTTCTATATAACTGTAATAAATATTTCTTGTAAAAATATATTTAATATCGCTTTATAAATGCCAAAAGAGTGCCAAGTATCACATATCTCTGTACCCTATACTGTGTTTAATCTTCTACGTAGTACATAATATTACTGCTAAAAGAAATGAATAAAATAACTAATTAGTTAATGAATCCTTAAAACTCTTCACAGAAGGTGGTAGAGTTTCTCTCACACATTTCACAAGAGAAATGCATTTGGTGCCCCTTTTCAGCCACAGAGTTAGCCGTTAAGTACGATGTGAAGTCATCTAAGTCTCCCCTGTGTGGGTACCAGCATGCTGGACTGAAGCCCTTTGTTTCCATGTGGAGAGTCTGCCACCTCTGCATACTTGTCCTCAGGAATGTCGTTCTAGAAATAGACCAGCCTTCTCCCTGGGGCCCATGAGTCACACACAGAAGTTAATTCATTGGAGCAACTGGCTTTTCTTAGGCCTTTTGTAAAAGTATTTCAGAGAGGCCCTCATGGTCAGGCAAAAAAAAAAAAAAAAAAAGAGGGTTCCTCTTCAGGTTCTTTCCAGCTCTTGCCTCATTTCCCCTCTCTGCTTCCTTCACCACCGTACACTTGGCTTTTCCTGACAACCTTTACCTGCAGACCTAGACCCCAGGTCCTGAGCTAGTGTTACCTGAAGCAGGAAGTAGACTAGCAAAGCCTCCTCGCCCACCCATCCAGCTCCATTCATTCATATTTGGAATCAAATTATGCTCCATCGTATCATTCCTGTCTCCTTGGCTTCCAAACACACTTTTGAGACTCGGCATGCCAAAGACAATCTTGTGTAATCTGTGTCAGAAGATAGAGCCTGGAAGTTCGTCTTTATGTTTCTCTTCATCTTTTTGTATTTTATTTTTTATAACAGAAGTACTAGTTGAATACATTTTCACTGTGAAACAACAACATAGAGCTGAAGTTCCCCTTGTTCACTAAGTATTTAACTTGCATTGCTGTGTTATTCTACTGCTGTTTTGTATTCTAGAATGCTTTTGAAGTATAAGAAATACATGATAACTATCAAATTCAAATGGTATAGAAATATGAGTAGTCGAAATGGAATGTATCTCAGACCTGCCCCATTCCCACTCCTGTCCACTGTTAACAGTTTGGTGACAGCCCCCCAGACCTTTGTGAAATACATTTGCGTCCATACATACTTACTTAGGCCAATAGTTTTATTTTTATATAAGTGGGCTCATACTACATGTCTGTTCCACAACTTTATTTACGTACTATTTCATAGCTTTCCATGTCAGTGCATTTACCTTTACTTTGTTAATAGCTATATAGTACTCCACAGCTTGACTGTGCCATAATTTATGGCACACCTAAGCATTCCCATATAGGTAAACATTTGAATTGCTTCCTGTTCGGGGCTTTGATTACAATAATGCTGTACTGAACTTCTTTGCCTGTGTCTCTTTGTGTACTATCCAAGAATATCTGTAGGCTAGATATCTAGAGGTATCTGGCATTGACCGGTCAAAATTTAAGATTTTATAATTTTAAAATTTTACAATTAAAGAATTAGACACTTTCCTCTTTCCCTTTCTTCTACAGATAGTTCTTTCCTGGGAACTGACATTGACCTTCAGACTATAGACAATGATGTTGTCAGCATGGAGATGTTCTTTAAAGCCTGGCTACATAACAGTGGAACAGACCAAGAACATGTTCACCTTCTTCTTCCTTCACAGTCTTTCAGCAAGGTTTCCAGAGCCACAGATAATCCAAGTAACACTCCTAAAAAAGCATATTATGTAGGCTGTCATAATCATAGTCTAGGATTAGGGCTTCAGATTGGCAAGTCACCAGAGCACAGAGCACTTGAGGTTTAAGAATTAGAGGAGGATTGGATGAAGTTGTTCAGCATTAGCAGAAGGAGTAAAAAAAGAATTTCTGAAGAGTGACCAGTTAGAAAACTGAATGTAATTAATCCCAGACAGCAAAGGACAACTAGTTTAGAGGCAAAAACTTAGACACCTCAATATTAGGGCAGCAGCTACACTGCAAAAGAACACAGTGAGTTATATATTTTTCTCAAATTTTTAATTTTTAATGCAGTAGATATCAATGACATTATAATTTGAAGCACGCTGGCACTTCAACAATATCAGCAGGGCCCATGAGTAGAGGGAAAAAAGCAAGACTAAACCAAAATTAAATAGAGGTCTTCTGGATAGTGAGACATCAAATTGAGGGTAGCAGGGAGTAAAGCAGCTACCAAGGCAGGCCCCAGAGAGGACATTTAGAGACCCAAGACATGTCCATAAAGCATGTTCTGGCAATTATGAAAACCAAGGGATTGATCCAGTGTTTTAGACATGCCAGCATGGCCCTGGATTCCAGATCCCACTAGTCTCCATCCCCTTTGAAGATTGGTTCAGGACCCAGGGTGACAAGGGCCTGCAAATGGGCCCATCCGTACAGTCAGCCACACAGAGTTTGGAAAAGCTGACTCCTCAGGGCCCAGCTCCAAAGGAAAAGGGCCAAGGTGTGGCTTTGGGAGTTGGCATTCACTCAGAAAAATGGGTACAGACTCCTGGTTCCCAAAGGGAACCCTTGGTTCTTTATTTCTGGGAATAATCATTGGGTCCTTACCCATCATCCCTATTCCAACCTAGGGCCTGGAATGCCTTTGACAACTTACCTGAATTTTTTTCTGTAATCCCTTTGAGTGTAAAATCTTCCCCGGACCTTGTTTCCAACACTTGTGTCTAAGAGTAACAGTACCATTTGCTTCCTGTCCCATGCTCTGGAAGTCATTCTTATCTGCTTTCCCCCAGACACTCTGTCAACTTCTTTCCTTGCATTATCCCTTTTCATCTTCACACAGCATCATGAGGCAGGTAATGTTACTGTACGTCATTAAATCTAAGATGCAATCAATAGGAAGATATACTTTCATTTTCTGTACCACTAAGAAACAAAAACACTATCAATTAAACATGACACAGTTCTTTCTTACTCACTTAGAAATATTATCTCATCCTTACTTAAAGAGGTTTTTTTTAGGTTGGAGTAGTGTGTAAGGGTTAAGTGCATGTGTCTGGCCAGTGGTAATTATAGGACACATGTAAATATGCAAGTATGTGAAAAATGCATCTTGGCATCAGTTAAATACAATATTATCCCTATTTTACAGATGAGAAAACTGAGACCTAGAGAAATTAAACATTTCCCCAGGGCTGCACAGACAATTAACAGTGGAACCAGAATCTGGTCTATTCCAGAGCCCACTCCTACCCTTAGGATTAGAACTCTGTGTTTTTTGCATTTGACTACTCTTAGCCCAGAGAACGCTCACCAAACCCAGGTCTATCTGCCTCCAAAGCTGGGGCCCATATCTACTGTGCAGCCTGCCACATACTGAGTAATTCTAAACAAAGACGCTAGAGATTCACTTTTCTTATTAGGAGAGCAGAGGGCCTCAAAGGCCAGGAACTCTTGCAATCAGCCCTTCTTCCACTGTTGCACAGTATTTGCACATGGTACTGTTGAGAATTTCTCTGCTTTGCCCTCTCTTTCCATGGCTTTCAGCACCAGGATCAGAGCCCAAACATTTATCTTCATCTGCAACCATTTTTCAGCAGTTCATGGGTCTTCATGGTGCACGGTAGAACTTAGATACAGACTCATCAGCTCGTCTGCTGGGGAAAACTTCACTGCAGTCCATATGCTCAGACACAGTTGGAATGAGGTCTGGGGAAAGTAGACCTCCCATAGTTATCTATTGTTTAAAAAACTGCTGCATTGCCAGATACATGGATTTCTAAAAATGTGGCTCATTACAATTTTAAAAAAAAGTGAAACAAAACAAAACAAAAATGCTGAGTTCTCCTACTCCAGCATCCTTTGAGGACTGCCCATCAGATATTCACTGTGACTTCTCTTTATAAGGTTCTCTACCCCACATCACCTGCTTCAGTAGCTGCCTTGTGATGGGCAAAGTACACAGTCAGCTTCTGATGAGTGTCCTTTCTCATTTCTTGGGTTCAGGGTCCACCACCTCGCTCGTCACCCCGGTTCTGGGTGGGGAGAAGCATACCTTGTTCTAGAACCAAGGTCTGCTAAAAAGGGCTTTCCCAGTCTTGGAGCACTGCTGACTCTACCATTCCCATAGTTCTCAGCCCTGGCTGCAAAAAAAAAAAAAAAAGTCACATGAGGAGCTTTTCTTAAAAACCAGCATTCGGGCTCCATTCCAAGAGATACCAATTTGATCAGTGTGGAGTAAGATCCAGACATTGGTATCTTTTAGAAGTTCCCTGTGTGATTTTTAATTTAGTTGGAGTGAGGACCTCAGCCAGGTGAATATAACTGTCTAGTCCTAAAACCCAGGGACCCAACAATGAAGTCAGACACACAGGAAGGAGGGGAAGCTGGAGCCCTAGGCAAAGTCCCTCCTATTGACTTCCTGGGCCCTGGGACATACCAGAGGCACCTCGCCCAACATCAATGTCTATGTATGATTGCTGAGCCCAGGAGGGCCAGCTGGACCTTACATCTATCCTGAGTCCTATTTATTTCTACTTTTGTTTTTACCTCATGTTGCAGTTAGTATAGTCATTTCCTAAGTCACTAACACCAACTACTAACCTTCTCACAAGGATTCAACATTGGTTTATTCACAGGTTTGTTAACAGTATTTGAACCTGGTATAAATTTTATTGAAAACCTTTGTAATATCAAGGATTCAAGTTTAGTGCTAAAGAACCCTGTACACTGTGGTATGTGAATAGATTTGCTGCAGCAGAAGCTTAATGCACAAGAATATAATGCCTTGATGAGTAACTCATACCTAGTCGAAGCCCCCCTCAGAAACATGGTCTGCTGCCACAGAGATGCTCCAAGGCTCAGAAGGTTTTATACTTTGGTTTCTTTGGGGGATTTAAAAGTAAGCTGTTTCGGGAACTTATTTCTCCTCCCCCTCAAATGTTCCTACAAGAGCCCACAGAGGGGAAGTCCTTCCGCAGAACAGTAGCTGTCAGCTGACTGCCTGACTTCTGCTTTCCTGCTCTTCTTTCATCTGCCCTGTAGTCTTGCCAAAGCTTAGCCACTGGGAAGCAGCAGAGGCAAGATTTCCTTCTGTGATTGCCACAGGGCCTCTACGCCTTGTAAGGTTAGCTGCCTCTTCCACAGAGGACACGTGTTCCTCTCAGACTGGATCACTGGATCTCTCACTATTGGGCAACTGCTCAGCCAGCCCAGGAGTAAAACAAGTAAAAATCATGTCAGACCCAGAAAACGTCACCTGTTGTGTAGGGGCAGTACTGTAGGTGCCAGACCTGCTCTGCCTCCCTAAGCCCATCATATTTCCCTCTTTCCACTCTCTTGCCTGCTCTCAACCCTTACTTGCCTGGCGAAGGTGGAATGAGTGGCAGATGTTGTTCTGAAGTGCTAGCCTGAGGTAACTTGTGACCAACATCCTTCCCCCAATGCTGTTTTTTACTGTAGTGTGCCTGAAATGTGATCTCCAGGAGCGACTTCTCAGCCCGTCTCTGCTCCCTGGCACAGCTGATGGCTCCTTGAAAATGGATGACCCCAAAGGAGACTTCAGCACACTCTACCAGATGGCCTCCCAGTCATCGGCCTCTTACTACAAGCTCCGGGTGATCAAGTAGGGTCCATGGGAAGCTCTCCAACCCATGCAAACACTGATTCTTACAGGTTCCATGGCTAGAAAGTCCAGGGATAGAGGACATCCCTAAGTGTCAGGCAGGCGGGAGTCTGGTCCAAAGCAGCACCTACAGGTATGGGCATGAAAGAGCATGGTCAGGCTGCTCAGCACAGGAGACAAATGAGCAGAGGGTGGAGATGGGCCTCAGACAATAAGGGCTGAATTAGGACTGGAAATCCAGAAAGTCTCCGAATGCAGAGACTCTCTCAAGAGAGAGACCTGGACTTCAAGGAGCAACTGGTACATAGGATCTTTCCCGGCCCTCCCATTTTTCCAAGTCAGTGACTTTCAACCTTTTTATCTCATTCATTGAAGAATAAACTAAACTAAAATTCCACAACATACCAAAAAGTATATTTTTGGCTGATCTGACCAAAAAATAGGTATAATTTTGATTCATTCACAATGGATAGCTACTGTTGTATTAACCGTCATTTTTTATATATGACAACCTAAATAGTCAGGTATCGCATGTTTTAAAAATTCTTGCAGGACACTGGTTGAAAAATCTCTGCTCTAAAAACTAGAATACCTGCTTCCAGGGGAACCAAGTTCAAAGTAGAATTAGCCATGATGGCAAAGGCCATTTTTACTGCTTCCTAGTTCCTATCACAGTGCCCAGACCCAGGTATCTGCACAAGCTTGTCCATGGGTTTCTGACCATGGATGCTGCTAGGAACCTTCTGAAATGCATCCTCTTCTTAGATGCATCCTGTCAACACATCAACTCAAAAGAGCCAGGAATGGGGTGCAGATGGCTAGCATACAATTGTGTTATATGGTTGCTGTAGCAGGGGTATTACGGGAGTGTCCCCAGGTACATCACTTGGCATAGAATGAACTCAGAAGAAAACATTTTCATCAGAGTCTTGAGCCTTTCTGATGGCTGCTTCATTCATTGATTAACAGGCTTTGAGAATGTGCTGTGTGCCTGATACCTTGCTAGGTACTGGCCGTACAAAGGTGAATAATTCACAGTCCTTAGTCTAAAGGATTTCACAATAGGGTCTTGGACATAACTGAATTTAGTGGATTTGGGTTGAGGTTCTGGATATCATTGAGGAGACATTCCCTGCCATTGTCTCTTCCCAGAGCTCTCAAATCCAGTGGGATCTGCGAATCAGTGACATATGGACTCCCGTTCATCCTCAGACCCACAAGCTGCTGGCAACTGGACTGGGATGAGCTGGAGACGAATCAGCAGCATTTCCATGCTTTGTGTCACGGCCTGCTGGTGAGTATCTACTCCACGTGAGGAACAGGAAGGATGTTCAAGTACCAACCACAGAAAAGCAGTTAGCTGAATTGTGCCCTGATTCCCGACCTGTCCCAATCCTCAAGAGGACAGGAAAAGACAAGAAACACTCTGAAATGTAGATCAAATATGACTTACCTTTGTTGCTTCATATTATAGAGAATAACTCGTGAATTCAATTATATGATACTAAACTTTAAAAGCCCCATGTTTTTACACTTAGCCAATAAATGGCAGCAAGAAATTTTTCACAGGTAACTATATTTTGAAACCTGTTTTCTTCCTAACACTGTCCTGTACATTATGGTTCATTTAAATGAAGAGCACCTAGTCTGCACCAAACATGTGCTAAGCCCTAGATATTTAATGGTTAACAAAATAGATGTTATTTTTGACCTCAAGAAACGTACTCTCTAGTGGAAGAGACAGAATTAAGTACATATGTTACTAACTGTGAGAAATTTATAAAGGAAAAGAAGTAGCTGCTATAAGAAATCCTCTCTGTGAAGGTGACATTTAAACTGAGACCTGCCAGAAAAATGGGAATTAGCTAGATGAAGGGTGGCAGGAAGAACACTCCAGGTACAGGAAAAGGAATGCGCAAAGACCCCAGAGCTAGAAAGAGCTGAGAGAATAATCAAGAATAAGGCAGCTAGCCATGGCTGGGTAGCTCAGTTGGTTAGAGCATTGTCCCAACACACCAAAGTTGCTGGTTCAATCCTTGGTCAGGGTACATGCAGGAATGAGTGAATAAATAAGTGGAACAATAAATCAGTATTTCTTTCTCTCCCCTACCACTTCTTCTTTCCCTCTCTCTAAAATCAATTTTTAAGTATATTTTATTGATTATGCTATTACAGTTGTCCCATTTTTTTTCCTCCCATTTATTGCCCTTCACCCTGCACCCTCCCTCCCACCAGCATTCCCCTCCCCCTTTATGTCCCTGGGCCATACACATAAGTTCTTTGGTTTCTCCATTGCTATACCCTCCCCCTGTCTTTTTCATACCTACCATTTATACTTCTTATTCCCTGTACCTTTTCCCCCATTATCCCCCTGCCCCTCCCCACTGATAACCCTCCATGTGATCTCCATTTCTGTGATTCTGTTCCTGTTGTAGTTGTTTGCTTAGTTTGTTTTTGGTTTTGGTTTTGTTTTAGGTGCAGTTGTTGACAGTTGTGAGTTTGTTGTCATTTTACTGTTCATAGTTTTGATCTTCTTTTTCTTAGATAAGTCTCTTTAACATTTCATATAACAAGGGCTTGGTGATGATGAACTCCTTTAACTTGACCTTATCTGGGAAGCACTTTATTTGCCCTTCAATTCTAAATGATAGCTTTGCTGGATAGAGCAATCTTGGATGTAGGTCCTTGCCTTTCATGACTTGGAATACTTCTTTCCAGACTCATCTTGACTGTAAGATTTCTTTTGAGAAATCAACTGACAGTCTTATGGGCACTCCTTTGTAGGTAACTGTCTCCTTCTCTCTTGCTGCTTTAAAGATTCTCTCCTTATCTTTAATCTTGGCTAATGTAATGATGATGTGCCTTGGTGTGTTCCTCTTTGGGTCCAACTTCTTTGGGACTCTCTGAGCTTCCTGGACTCCCTGGAAGTCTATTTCTTTTGCCAGATTGGATCAGTTCTCCATTATTTTTTCAAATAAGTTTTTCGTTTCTTACTCTTCTCTTTCTGGCACCTCTGTGATTCAGATGTTGGAATGTTTAAAGTTGTCACAGAGTTTCCTAAACATCTCCTCATTATTTTGAATTCTAGTTTCTTCATTCTGTTCTGGTTGAATGTTTATTTCTTCCTTCTGCTCTAAATCATTGACTTGAATGCCAGTTTCCTTCCTTTCACTGCTGGTTTCCTGTGCATTTTTTTTTACTTCACTTTGCATAGACATTTCACTTTTCCCTCTATTTTGTGACCATAGTCAACCATTTCTGTCAGCATCCCGATTACCAATGTTTTGAACTGTGCATCTGATAGGTTGGCTCTCTCTCAGTCACTTAGTCCTGTTTCTGGAGTTTTGATCTGTTCTTTCATTTTGGCCACATCTCTTTGTCTTGGCACACCTGTTACATTCACCAGGGCAAGGCAACTCATATCACTGCATTGTGGTCCTGTATGTGGGGGAAGGGTCAGAGAGGGAACAATGCCACTTGTTCATTTCTCGGCCAACTTTCAGTCACTTCCTCTACTACTCACAAGTAAATTGGGTCCTTCTGGTGCTGATTCCCAGGTGGGTAGGTTTGTGTACTTTCTAGGACCCTGTGGGTCTCTCCAAAGAACTCTCCTATGAGACTGGGAGTTTCTCCCACCACCGCAACCCCCACAGCTTTTTACAGTCAGAGGTTTTTCAGGCTTTCTTTTCCCTCTCTGGAACCCTGGGTTGCACAGTCTGTCTTGCTCCCCGGTTGTTCCTCCTGGTTTACCCACATGCAAATGAGGGACCCCCAGCTGCTGCCTGGCCTGCCCAGTCCTCCAGCCACTGCCTTGCCAGCATCCTCCCTACCATCTGCCTGTCTCTACCCCTCCTACCAGGCTGGATGAATGTTTCTTCTTTAACTCCTTGGTTATCAGACCTCCATACAGTTAAATTTTCTGGCAGTTCTGGTTGTTTTTTATTTTTTAATTTGTCATTGTCCTTCTTTTGATTGTGCGAGGAGGCAAAAGTGTATCTACCTAGGCTTCCTTGGCAGGAAGTCTCCTGGAGTTCAAATGATGCACTAGTAGCTGGTAGTCTTTGGGCTGCTTCTTTATATTCTTTGGATTCAAAAGCCCTTATAAATTTGAATATATAATTGGCTTTATTAAGAGATTCATGTATTGGGCAGCAACCCATCTAACAACTAGAGGGGCATTCTTCTAAAATCAATTTTTAGAAATGTTTTTAGCCCTGGATGGTGTGGCTCAGTGGTTTGAGTGCCAACCTGCGAACCAAAGGGTCCTGTTTTGACTCCCAGTCAGGACACATTCCCAGGTTGTGGGCCAGCTCCTCATTAGGCGGTGTGAGAGGTAACCATACATTGATGTTTCCTTCTCTTTCTCCCTCCCTTCCCCTCTGTCTAAAAGTAAATAACTAAAATATTTTTAAATAAAAATTAAAATGTTTTTAAAAAAGAAAGAATAAAAAGGCCATTATGACTGAAACAGAGTAAGGGGAGCAAGTCACAAGGTGGGAAGAACAAGTGAATAGGGGTCAAATTGTGCAGAGCTCTGTAGGCCAAATTAAGGACCTTGGACTTCAAGTATAGGAGAAAAAATCATGATAAATGAATCATCTAAGTTTTATTTTTAAATTACTTCAGCCAAAATTTGGAAAAGAATAAACAAAGGCAAGAATAGAGAGAAGAAAATGAGGGCAGGAGGGCATTTCAATCATCTAGGCAGGAGATGATGGTGGTTTCAACTCCAATGTTGGAAGTCAAGATGAGAAAGGTAAAAGGATTAAAGAGATGCTTGAAAGAAAGAGTCAGAACTTGGTGCAGGGTTGGATGTGGAGAGGAAGGAAGAGGAAAATATCAAGTAACTACCTGGTTTCTGATTTGAACAAGTAAGTGCATGCCATTTCCTGAAATGACAAAACTAAGTAGCGCACGTGCACACACACACACGCACACACACGAAGCAGCAATGCAACACTTACAAGGCAAAATATATAAAACAGCTGCCAGTATAATCCCAGGACATATGCAGCTGCTCAGTCGATGCAAAATAAAGGTCTGACCCAGCAGGACGTGCCTGATCAGAACAGCACAGCGGTGCATCTCTGTCACTATCAGAGCAGACTTCTTTTTTTCCTGTTTCAAGCCCACACTGCCTTTTGGGCCCACCCACTGAGTTCCTGTTTCCTATCTGACCTTGCTCCTGTCCTTGCTAAGCAAAGACAACAGATGTGTTCTGACTGTCAGAGCCCAACAGTGCAGTTTACTGTTTACTCCACCCAGTTCCTCAGGATCTCGGAGATGCTACATCACTCAAGAGGAATTTCTCTCAAGTGGCTTCAGTACATTCTTACAGTACGTGATATTTTAAACAAACATTGGCAACTTTTTTTAGGACAAGTCAGGAAAAATCTGAATTATTTATTTTGAAATAATTCGTTTTTGCTTGCTTTTTCATTAGCAATGAGTGATATAATGTATAATCCTGTATTACCGTGAATTGGAGTCCAGGTGTTTCACCCAGGTTATTTTTATATCACTAACTGACTTCTGAAAAACCAAGACTATTTCCAAACAGAAACTCCTCAGTCTGGGACCCTGGCAGCTCTCCCCCAAGGGCATCCAAAGTCCATTTTTTATAGTTTGCCTCAAACTTCATCTTCTCCAGAAACCCTTTACCAATGTACCATCCCCTGCAGCAATCTCTTCTATTGTCTTTTTTTAATTTTAAATAAGTTAAAAATACAGGTAAGCACAAAGTACAAAGTTTTCTTACCTCCCAGAATTGAGAGTTGTTACATGTTGGCAGATTTGCTTTCAGCCTGCATGTGTGCCTCTCTGCATGTAATAAAATAGTCCCCGAGACATTTGGAGTTCCTCTGATCCCAGTCGTCACATCCCAGCGCTGCCTGCAATCATCAACTGAGAATTAGCTGTGAGTCCTTTGAGTTCATTTCTCATTTTCTGCTACTTCTTCATTTAGGTTTCATGACTGCTTTTCTTTTTTTTCTTTCTTCCTTTTTTTTTGTATGGTGTTCTTGGTAGTGACTCTAGGACAGTCGGTTTTCCCTGCTAGATGAGGATCAGCCAGAGGGCACTGGTCTGTGAATACCCTCTGTGAGCCGCCAAACTTGGTGAGGAGTTAAGTATGTCTTGCTTGTCTCCTGAGTATGTCTTGTCTGCTTACTACAGTTCACATCTTGGTCCTTGATAACAGATTTGTAGAAGAGCTCAAACAAATTTATGGTCCTGTACCCAACAACATCTGGGCCCTGTTTGCAGGGAGCTCAGTGACTAAAACTTACAGCTTTGCTTTTGATTTTCTAATTGATCTAGTTTTCTTCTTATTTAGCTGCTAGAAGCTCAAAACCAAATATAATGGCATTTTAATACACTACTAGAGGGAACGTACATGTTCTGGAAAGCGATACCCTTCAACATTTTCATTCCATTGCTGGGCATGTAGCCCAAGAAAACAATCAGTAAGAGAGCAAAGCCGTATGTACCAGCATGTTCATCTTACTCGGTGCTAGTCACTTAACCAAGTGTTCTGCATACTTTACCTCATTTGATCTTCACAATAGCTCCATGAGAATAGGAACTGTTCGTCTTGTTTTTACAAATTGGGAAGTCTGAAGAGATCAAGTGACTTACCAGAGGTCACACAGCTGCCAAAGTAGCTGTCAGAATTCGAATCTTCTTCTGTGGATTACAAAGCCAATGCTCCTAACTTCTTGCTAAGTTCCCTACTCCAGATGTGGCCAGAAAAATAGACTACAACACTGAGGCTAACTCTCCCTTGCTGGACACTCCATGCTTCTGTCCTCTACTGGGCGTGAAGTAAAGGGACTTGGTGCTTGTGATAGCTCCTCTCCCATCATTTTCCCTTCTACTATAGGTTTGCTCCACCTCATCCAGATTAACAACCACTCTCCTTTTCTAGAAAAGAGAGACACAAAATAGTGCTTGAATGGCTCTTCCCTCTTGCCTTTTATGTGCCAACTTCTCCAAGCAACAAAAAACCTCAAAGGCATTGTGTTGTAGAGAGAAGAATTTGCCACAAGCCTCAGCTCATTCATTCAATAACAACTGTTTTTGAGGGCCTACTATGTAATAAGATTTATTTAGAAATTTAACCTTCTTGGTCCTGTTTGTAAAAGTTTTTAGCACTTCTTTAACTTCATCCTTGATTTCGTATTCTTTCTTACAAATTTTTTCGTATGTTCTTTTAAAATCCGATGCTGTCAGCTCCCCCATGTAAGTCTCTTGCCTCCTGTTTCTCACTGTGACGTTCCCCCTACAGTTAACTTCTCATTCTAACTTCTGTCTTTCTGTTAATAGCAGCAGCACCATGGTCTGCTCACTCAAGCTTGAAACCTCAGTCACTTTCAGCCCTCTCAGCGTTTACACCCACTTCACCGCTAAGTCATATCAGTTTTCTCCTCATAACATGAATTGTAACTGTCCTTTCCTTCCCGTTCCCACTGCTTGTTCTCACCAAGACTACATCAGTAAACCCCGAACTAGCTTCCCTACCTCCGGTCTCTTCTCCTTCTAATTTGCCCTGCTCAGTAAACCATATTAACCTTTTCAAAGCATTCCTCTGACTATCCCGCGTTTTTCCATGGTGCTAGTACGCAAGGCTTTAGGCTTGTCTGCTCTATCCTTATAGCATCCTCCTGGAGAGGAGAAGTATTGCATGTATCTTCTCCTCTCCATCTTATATATCACCATCCTAGTTTAGGCCCTTTTTACTTCTTTCCTCTAATATTGCAATACTATCTTAACTTGCCCAAGTGCCTGTTATGTTTTCCCCTTCCCAATCCATTTTACCAACTGCCACTGGATTAATCTTCTTCAAACACAGAGCTGATCCTGCCCTCTTCAGCTTAAAGATATTTTGTGACTTGGTGTTCATTATACTTAACCAAGTATCTAAATTCAGCCTTGTCTTCCATTATTCTCCTTCATGTACCCCACACACCAACCAAATTAATAGACAGACCTTCAATTGCCCCACCTTTGAACCTTTGTTCATGTTATTCCTTCTCCTGTCTCCATGTGTTCAAATCCTACCCCAGTCTGAAAGACGCAGCACAAAGGGTCCTTCTGCACTGAAGCCTTTCTGAATTCCTGTATTTCTCGTCAGACCTCTGTGTGCTCTGTCTCTTTTTAGAGAAAAGCATATTTCAATTCATACGATCCTATTAGACATGGGTTAAAATGTAGGATATAAATGTGACTACCCAGACTCCAGCGTAACATGAGTGCCTTTCCCTGGCATTTCTGCCACTTCTTCACTTTACCAGCTAATTCCTGAGCTTTAGTCAAATGTGGGTTCAGAGTAGAAATTGTTACCTCTCTCTTTTGGGAGTTAAGGCAAGGCAGTTTTCTAAGCTGTGGTGGTAAAATATAATTTGTATTGTCCATGAAAAGATGGACTTTGGAACCAGATGGCCTGAATGACAGCTTTGTTATTTCCCAACTGTGTGAATTTAGGCAACAGACTTAACCTCTCTGAGCATCAGTGTATTCGTCTGTTTGTAACCCTGACACGTCTCCTGGCCCCATGGGGTTCAGTCCCTGCCTAAATGGTAATGAAACACTACCCAGGGGCCAAAAGATATTTTAAAAATTAATTCATTTGTGCTTTCAAAGAACACAAAAAGGAAATGGCTTGTAACCTACAACAACATTTCTCAAATTTTCTTCCTCCGTTCCTTTAATACATCTAACCTAGATCCATCCCCAAACCCTTTCTCTCTCTCACATGCACACACACACACCACACATGCACACACACACACACACACACACACACACTGAATGAATGAATAAACACAAAACACTGTCTACACCCCCAATCCTTGTTCCTCTACCTTCTTCCTCTCTCTGTCCCAGCCATATAATTTTCCATAGATTGACAGCCTCTCTGACACTGTCCCCTCCCTCTCAGGTCCTGTCTCTCTCTACCTATTTGAAATATCCAGGAAGAGAATTCACAGTGCTTCTCCTTTTTGAGTAGAAGTGAAGTGGGGGAAAAGGAGATGAAGGGGGAAAGGCGCATGGCAGACACACATTATTAACTCTTGTTCCTGTCACATGCGGATAGAGACAATAAAAATAAACCTCATGGTTTTTAAGATGAATAAGTAGTGGTGTGTGTAAAGCACCCAGCGTGTGCCTGGCATGCAGAGTGCGTAGAATGGTTGGTTAGTGGTTCTATGATTTCCATTTGTTCCTCTTCTAATTCTCTAGAGAAATTCTCCATAATTTCACCTATATTCTTGAGCATACTAATTGTAATTATTTTAAGGTTCTTATCCACTAACCCCAATACCTAGATCGCCTCCAGCTTTTTTTCTATTGTCTTTTTTCTTGTGGTTTTCAGACATTGGTCTTGTCTTCTGGTGCACATGATAATACTACAATGATAAAGATGCTCATTGCATCTAAATAAATTGTAGAGGCTCCAGTTGGTGTTGGCTTGCTTCCTCCAGAGAGGTCTCCCACTGCCCTGCACTAAGCAGATAGAGTGGTGACAGAGCATCTCATTCCCCTCCGGCGTTCTGCTGAGTCAAGGCTGGGCTGCAGCCCTGCTAAGTCTCTGTCTGCTCCTGGTTTGCCCCTGGCCCTCCAGGACTTTCCACTGAAAACCGGGTGTACTGTGTGTGTCCCTTCCCTTGGCCACTACAATGCTTGACTTCTAGAAACTGTCTCCTTAAGTGTTTTTTGTCTCTTACTCTGTGCAGCCCCAGTATCTGGCAAATGAGCCAAGTGAAAAATTGGCTTGAGCACCCACCCTACCCCCGTCAAGTCTCTACTAAAAGATCTGCTGGTCTCTCTGTTTCCTTGCATGTGCCTCAACAGGAGCAAATCCTAGATTCTCAGCCGCCACCCTGACTCCAACTCAGAATCGACATACACCCTCATGGTAAAAGCAGTTGCAGTAATTCCTTCATCTCTCTGGATTCTTTCCTTTCCAGACACTTAGCTACCCTCATTTTCTCTGTCACAGCACCTCCTCACTGCCTTCTGACAAATGGTTTCTCTATATTATCCAGCTTTTCTAACTGTTCTAGCAGGAGGACCAGTCTGCCTCTGGCCATTCCAACGCACTCTGATGCAGAAGTAGATGCTTATTAAATGTCCATTGATCCCCCCTTTGCACCCTTTGTCTAGCTAGACGACCTACAATACGTTTTCTGGTTTACCATTATCAGTTGGCACTCTACCTTGTCCTCATTTTCAGGTTCCCAGGTTTCCTCACAATTATAAACAGAGCTCAGTTCCTTCAGTGCTGTCTGTTCATCCAGCCCTTCTTAGAGTTTTTCTGTACAAAGTCCGTGCTGCCATAAAATCTAGTTCCGGCCATCAGTGCCAGGCCACCAGGCCTGGTCAACTATAAAAGTTGTGTGACTTTGCAAATTATACTTTACACATACTCTAAAACTTTAGTCAACTGCAGCCTTAAGTGTTGTTCCATTCCTTGATGTTTTTTACTTGACAATTGAATGTTGTATCTTTCTGTCCTCATAGGATACTTTGTTTTATTTGAGTATTTTACTTCTTTTTCCTCTGAGAAATATTCCTTCATGAGATAAGCAAGGCTCTTGATAAACTCATCTCCCAACCCTTTCTGAAAGATGTGTGCTACCCACCACTCCCATAAATTTCACTCCAGACACAAGACAGCTATGTGTTTTGACTTCATTCTTCAGTTTTATAGATCTATGTCTAAGAATTACTAAAGTATTTTTATTTATTTTTTATGATTTTATTTATTTGCTTTTAGAGAGAGGGAAGAAGGAGAAAAAGAAAGGGAGAGAAACATCAATGTGTGGTTGCCTCTCATATGTCCCCTACTGGGGCCCTGGCCTGCAACCCAGGCATGTGCCCTGACTGGGAATCAAACCAGTGACCCTTTGGTTCACAGGCCAATGCTCAATCCACTGAGCCACAACAGCCAGGGATAAATTATTTTTAAAGCAACAAAATTTAATAAACAGAATCTAATAATTATTCAATGTATTTTAATTTAAAACTTT